GGGTTTAGGGTTTAGGGTATGTAGTCTATGAGTTCTGAGTGGTTAAATACCAGAGGACACACCGAGACGAATTTCGAACAGAACCATCTATATAATTATTGAAATCGCGGCTGGTGTGGTCGGGCAAAGCCTTTGAGGGTGTCGCTGCTTCCCTGGCATTCTTCCACATGTACGAGTGTATGCTGGGCCGAGGCTACCTAACTTTCTTGGTAACATGATAAGTTAGCCAAGGGTTCAGTGATGCATACGACAAAGTATACTTGACACACACTTCCATAGTCCTACTTGGATGTTCTTGGGACTTAGTAAGTAAGGTTATAAGTCCGCTAATTGGGGTTATAAGTATAGTTACCTTAGTTATAACCCTACTTACTAAGTCCCATGATCCTTTAAGTAGATACTGCACATGTACCGAAATCGGTGCGTGCCTTCGATGATGGTTCAGTTCAGGCCTCGAGCTAAGGTACGCCGCATCTTAACCCGCCGCTCCTACCCCCATGTCCACCAGGTCTCCTTACCCAGACACTGCAAAACCTCGGAAGTAGGGAATGCATTCCATCAGTTAGTCTGAGTCGTCTTCAGGTTTGGGGTTTCGGGTTTTGGGGGGCTTTACCCTAAACCCGAAACCTAAAATTCCCCAACTTCTAGTTGGAACCCTTCAAGTCGGACCCTTGTTTACACTATTCCTTCCGCTCTAGCCTTGAGGGGCTCAGTACCCCTTAACCCCGACTTGGACCCCAAAGAACCTACCTTTTTAGGGCTCCTTATTATGTTTTCGTAATATAAGTGCTTAAAAAGGTAGGTTATTTGGGGTTCAGGGAAAGCCTAAACACTTACGAGGCCTTAAATAACCATATACCCTAAACCCTCAACCCTATTAAACCCTGAAGGCCCGAACCCTGAAGTCGAGGTCGAGGTACAGAGGCGTGTGAGCAACGTGCGAAGCGCCGACTCCTCCGCGCCATCCAGGGAATATCATTCGAGAGAGATGTCTTGTGTTTTGCTGGTGAGGTTTAGGGTCTGGCCGGTCTGGGGCTTTGGTGCTTCAGGAAATCGGGATATTCATGATAGTCTCGGGTGTACAAGTTCCGAGAAGGAACTTTGGTAACTGTTTCACTGTGCCCAAAGTAGCAACAGGACGCCGGTAAGCAGTGTAGATAAGTAAGCGCACCGGTATTCCTGTGTTCACGGACTATATGTGTAAGGTGATAAGTCGAAGACGGGCATGGAGTCATGCGCAGGATTTCCCAGAGCCCCCGAGTACACCTGAACAGAACCCAAAGCGCACGTGGTTTTGGCTGCAGCTGGGGGTTAGGCCCTTGAAAAAGCAAAAGAAGAGCATACCTGGAGCCTCAGCTTCATGCGCCCGGGCTCCTCGTTTTGGCGGAGACGAGGAACATCTAGCAGGAAGCATGCCGAAGGCCTCAGTATCCCTAAACCCCTAAACCCTAAACCCTAAACCCTCAGTATCCCTAAACCCCTAAACCCCCCAAAGCCTAAACGGCTAGAACCACCAGCGGCATCTCGGAAGGTTCAAGACCCCTACGTAACCCCAAACCCTAAGCCTCTAAACCCATAAGCCCGAAAGCAGACAATCCAAACCCTGCATACGAACCGAAATATCAGTAGTCATAAGAGCAAGAGTAATATTGGTAACAATGATGATAAGCCTAACAACAATTTCAACAATATAATAACTGTAAAAAACAGGAATAGCAACGATTCCTCAGGTCGGCCCTGCCCTGGATGGCTTTTGTTTAAAAGACTCCTTCTCACAGGCTTCAAGCCCTATAAACCTTACACCCTAAACCTGAAACCGTTAAGGTTTAATCTTAAGGTCTATCAGGGTCGGCCAGCAGTTCTTCGGCAAAGGATGGATGTGCCCTAAATACCCACTATTTCACTATTGAGGACCACCAAAACTCTATTCAAGGGTACTTGGGGGGTCCTGGGCGGTTTAAGGGTCTCGGGATTTAGGTCAAGGTTTGGATTTCTGTTGAAGGGTTGTTGGAGCACCCGGGCCCGTACTGGAAACTGAGGGCTCGAGCACGGCGAGCTGCAACAGCTCCAGCGGCGTTGGTGGCTCCCCTGACGGCAGCGGTTTAAGGATCACGTTGTGGGCTCTGTTGCGTCTCGCCACTTCTCTTGCCCTAAGGGTCCTAATACTGGAATTGAGTAGTAGAAAGCATCAGAAAGTACGGTTGCCAAATATGGAACTACGATTATAATTATGGCTTGGGTAAGTATTCCCCATATTGAGTACTGAGGACCCCTTTACAAGGTTTTGGGGGCCCATTAATAATGATTTAGGGTTTGGGGTTTACGGTTTAGAATTTATACTATATTAATAATAAAGAACCCCAAAATCGTATTGGTAATTGCCTAGGCCGCCTACACTATCCGCCCTGGCATCTTTCGCGCCTGTTCTGAAAGGTTTCCACTCCTCGGCTGCACATGCTCGGGGATTTCGGGCTTGAGTGGTTTAGGGTTTGGCTTTAGGGTTTAGGGTTCAGGGTGTATTTAGGATTGCAGGGTTTGCGCTTTGGCCGTTCAACATCCTCGATCTTATTTGTGCGAAGCCCTGTTTCCGACAATGCCGCAGCTAAGATGCTAATGAAGCGACAGCGTATTCGCCGAATGCTTCCCTAAGCCCTAAACCGCTAATACCTAAATACCCTTTTCGGCATGGGCTTGGATTGTGTGCCAGCGAACACACCTCAACAGCAGGGCCTTCTCGTTTAACGAGGGATGCGACAATCTTCCGAACTAGAATTAGAATTTGCAGAGCTACAAGGCCTACATGAGATGGCGCAGAAAGCGTAGTTGCAGCCCTACATACCCTTTTTGCACAGGCTTGCGTGAATCTCGCCTGGACGTGTCGCACCCGTTCTCTGAACCCTAAATACCCTAAACCCTTCGCCCTAAATACCCTAAACCCTAACAAGCCTTAATGGCCCTTCGAAGCCGCAGCCCTTGTAGAACTCCGTGGAATTCCGCTGTAGCTTCTTTTCAGAACCGATCCCACGACCGACTCGGATAAGCCTATAAGCTCAGGGCTTGTTATTGTAAACTTTTCCCTGACTCCAGCAACCTGCAGTGTCGAAGTCCTGTGGTCCTGCCGTATCGGTTGCCCGCCTTGAAGCTTAAAGCTCTCTGCCGCGCTGGGAAGACGAGTGGACGTGTCAATGGGCTATGGAGGAAAGCTGCCTACTGAAATATATAGCTTCCTTTAACCAAACTGAGGTTCTTACATCCGTTCTTTCAATGCACGTGCAACCGCAAACTACGGACCAGTAGCTTTGCAATCAGTATATACGCATACACTAGCTGCATGCGCATCTACATGCATTGCGAGCACATGTTTCAACAACATCAACATAGTCGCAGACCAGAATCTGCATCCAAGGCAATGATGCCACCCTCGTCTCCGGCTCTTCGGAAAAGATCCTCTGCACGATCGAAACCACGATCGCAACACATGATTGACGAACTTCAGCCTCCCTCGCTCTTCCTGTCTTTATCCAGGCGACAGCGCATGCTTTCGATCATATCGGTTCATTTCTTAATAAGGCTCAAGTATAGGCTTCTAGGGGGGGCCGTCAAGGTCTCAGTCTGGAAGGTAAGCTTCAAGCTAGATAACCGAAGCTTCCGTTGTGGGTGAGGACATCTGAACATGACTTTGGCGAATGAATCCACCACCTTTGCTCCTCTCCTGCGCAAAACTAAAACGCTCCCGAGTTGGTTCCCACGTTGCTTTGCTGCAAGCGGCAGGAGGAGTATAGAGTAGCAGTAGGAGAAGAGCACCAACACCATCAGCGTTGAATCATTAGCCCCAGGGCTTTTGGTCACAGCCGAGTCCTCCGTTGCTGTCGCCAAGTCCTTGTCTACCCATATGATTTCCACATCGCCGGGGAGAATCAACTCAGGCAGAACCTGCGACTCGATATTTGACTTGCAGGGTTCGGGGGGTTGGAGCTCAGGAAGGACGTGGTGAGCCAGCTCTGCTTGTGCGAGGGGCCTCAAGAACTCAGAGTTTTCATCGTCCCCAGCCAAGCACCAGAGGGTCCGAGTACCCAAATTTGCAGGATTTTACGGGTATTTTTTGGCACCGATAATGCCCTGGAGCCCCACAAATGATTTTTAGACCATTGTAACACCATATAAAACTCTAAGAGTCCTTATGAAACTCGACGATTTGGGGCTGAGGCTGCTGAAGCCTCCCGAACCATCCTTCCGGAAGTTAAACAGTGTGTGTGGCTAGCGTATGGAGGTGAAAGCATGGTTGAAGCATTGGACCCTGTGTTGTGATATTGCAGCTCCTTGTCGTATGCAAAGCCGACTGCCGAATCTCATGCACACCCCAATGCTTTTGTGGAACTTAACATCAGAGGATGCAACCTCAGCGGCCCCGTGTTCCAAGTTCCGTAAACGTACAGCTGACATGATGGTCACATATAGCCTCTGTCGCTGTCATTTTCAAACCCTAAGAACCAGGGACGCTCCGAGGGTATACTCGGAATGCATGTACCCTAGCTGTTGCTCGCTGCAGCCGTTTGAAAGCCATGGCAACTTTCCCCTCCCCCTGTGTTCTTCTGTGCGTCCCGTTCTCTTGTCCTGCCTGCTGTCTTGTGCTGCCGCTGCTCCTGAGGTCAGGAAGTGGGTGCGTGTGCTCCGTTGGGGGGGGG